GTCTATATTTTTCAAGCCTCTGCTTTTCACTTTAAATGATAACACAATTGGCAGAAGAAGATGGTTCTAAACGACATCAACATTGCTTGCAATCTATAAAGGGCCTATCTCAATGAGCGGCGAATGCTTGCGAAAGCTTGCTCGCCAGAGTTTGTAAAATGTTGTAAAAGGTTGCAAGAAAGATCGCAAACAGTTTTCTTTGTTGTAAACAGTTTTTCTTGTCGCAAAGAAATTTTGAACATGTTCATAATTTCTTTGCGAATTTATTTTCCCGCAAACAGTTGCAGGCGTTTGGAAAACAGTCGTTAGCGTTTGCAAAACAGTCGTAAGCCTTTGCAAACGGTTGTTAAACGGTTTTGCTCTTTGTTTTCGTCAGTTATCTGTGTTTCACCACGTTACCATATGGTTCCTTTATAAAATCGACCCATTGAGTACCAGTAGTTAGCAAAAGGTCTCAAACGTTCACAAATAGTGGCAAAGGATTGGCAAATAGTTGCTAATCTTCGCACAAGTTGTCGCTAACATTTGTTTACAGTCGCCAATAGTCGCCAATTGCCTTTCGCAAACACCTTTCGCAAACACGACTAATTGTCGCTAAACGTCACTTAATGTCGCTGATTTTCGCCAACATTCGTCAGAAAAGTTGGCGAATCCAAATTCGCAACGTTCGCAAGCATTCGCTGCTGAGTGAGATAGGCCCTTAAGCGTCGATCAGCTGACGCAAAGGCAACCTAAATGTACAGCTCCATCTGCAGTCTGGGTGAAATCTCACATTAGTTGGAAAATTTGAAATTGTCGGTTCATTTTCATCCTTGTTTTCACGAAGTGACGGTAGTGAGGAAAATCGTAACGCAAAGTGAATGCAATTTTTTTTCACTACCGTCACTTCGTGAAAACAGCGACGAATATGTTGCTATTGTTATATGCCGTAGCATGCAATAATTAACAAATTATGGTAATGGGTTTATTGGACCATCGAAGGGCGCATTATCTTGTATGACTAATGTTGTGATCGTTAACAATATGGTGTCTCTCGTAGTACTTTCTCTTCATTCTTTCTCATTTTCTCTAAATTATAATTTTCCCTCTTTATTTCTCCATGCCCTTTTTTATTTTATGTTGTCCTCTCTCTTTCTCTACCTAATTATTTCCCTTTTCATATTTTACAAAGCTCGTGCGATCAATATATATATATATGTAAATGCCGAATTCTATATTCCAATTGAATCTAAGATGATGGTAAAATGTTCTATATTGAACTGTGTCATCATGCGCTGCATGGTCGACTGGGCTTCCTGAAAGGATTAAGAAATAAGCAATTGGGCACTATAGCACATCCCCCAGCTCCTTAGACGGCCACACAGTGATAGTTTCATTGTGAATGTGAATCAGTGTTGAACCTTGAACCTTGTGGTTCGAAATCTTCTAACATTTTAGTGCATCGCAGACAAACGCTAGTCTTCGCTCGAAATGACAAAAGTGGTCCGAACTGGGTAAATAATTCAATGGGATTCATTTTTCTGATATCGGCGCATACTGTATTTTATTTTATTGAATTTGAATGTTAAAACCCACCCATTCATTGATTCTAACTGAACGTTTGGACATATTTCGGACAAAAATTAATAATTTGTTAATTGTGGCCGTCGGGTGACCGAAATGACCATATTGTTATTGATCAGGGTCAAGAGGATTACACGAACAGTCTTCTAAATGAAAATTAGCCTTAATTATAATTTTACTAGGTAATATATCAATTTATATTTATAACAAGATATAAAGAATAAATAATACAAAGCTTGACTTAAAGGGATAATTGAGTTCTGTTTAAGACCGCACATGCCTTCAAAGTGCATGGTTATTGCTCTTATTCTTATTTATGACATTTCTAGTGCCCTTTTAGAACCTAAAATTGCTATGAAGGTAATTTTAGACCCCAAAATGTATGAAATCTAGCCAATACGATCATACCAATTCAGGTCCACTTAAAAAAAAAAAACGGTGACCGTTAATTAATTATTTAATTAAAAATAACAATACATGAGCAAGCTAATAGTGGGTAATATATTAAAGCAACACGAAAATGCCAACAAAAAAGCCAACATCGGCATTGGCTGAAATACGACATAAAAGGCATTATTTCGTTTTTTCAACGGTTTTTTTCAAATTTTTCAAAATATCTTATATTTGTGGTGGTACACAAGTATTATAAATCGTTATATTTCAGCCGTCTCTGAACCGATTTTGATCAAACAAAGATGATTATGTCATTTTAATATTATGTTCTTTCAAATTTGACATTCAGTTTTTCATTATCTCACAAAAAACTTATTCTGTGTAGCGCCCTCTGCAACAGAACTCAACTATTCCTTTAAAGGTGAAATTCAAAGAAAATCACAAATATATCAACTTATGTATCACTAGAAACTGGTAAGCTATCAGATGGCCATCGTTCAAGTTTTAGGTCAACTACGTATCGGGTGATTTATTAAAGTACAAATATAACCACCTCCATAGCAGCTGGGATATACGAGAGACTCGCCAGAAAAATAACGATGTTTTAATGACGTCACTATATGGACCAATACTGCCCAAGCAGACGACATCCCATAAAAAATGAACATAATTGCAAAGCTATTATTTATCAAATTATAATGAGTTTAGTGTATATAAATGTAATGGCATGTCAAACCATTCAAAAGGGAACATGACCCGATTCTTATAACTAAAATATTTTGCTTGTAAATTCACAGGATAGGGGTTAATTAACAAACAAAGAAACCAGATTTTCAAATTGAAAAACCCCCGGAATGATATTAAGGACGGTATTTGTTTCCTCTTCCCACGCCGAACGCACCGCGGTGTGTCCAGCTGAATATACAATGGCGTCTTATATTTTTTTACAAGCGACGGATTCCTTTATTTTTGTATCTCAGCATTTGTCATCAAAATAAAACCATGCGCGGGGTTTAGAGTGAGGCAATAGATTTTACATTTAGCCTGACGGTAGTAAAGTAAGAGAAAGAACTCAAGAGAAGATGAAAACACAGGCCCTGGAAATGTGTGAGATATCATGGGACATCATCTGCTTGTGCAAATCATGTCCATACTGTGATCTGACACATCTCAGCAGCGTTCGGAGAGCTCTTCAGGTGCTATGCCGGGGCTGTATTTAAGCGTTTTGTTATTTATAATACTCATTATTTCGAATTTTTCCAAGCATTGAATTTTGATAACCTTGTCGAATCAAAGTTTCAACTTTGCAATAATGAAAATAAAGTTAATTTTAAAATCAATGAATATCGACTTTAAAATGATACAGTCGAGACCAGTTAAAGTCAAGAGCCACAACTTCTAATACGGGAAGAGGAGGATGGAGGGTTTTAGGGACTCTCACCGTTTTAAGTGGTTCGGTATCACTTAGTTGGCAAGTGACTTCTATATCGTCATTATTAACAGCCATCTCATCGTCATCGTCTTTAACGGGTTGATACTCTGATTTCTCCCTGATATCATGAACATCTTGCTGTGATAGAGTAATATTACAATACGATGTTTATGAATAAGCAAAACCTATTTATATAAAAATTACTTTTAAAACAGTTTTAAGTTAAGTAGAGGGGGTAACAACAGTAATTTACTCTGAATAATGTATAGACACATTGACAAAAAAACTTCTAAAACAATTTAACATTGCCTAGGCCCATAGTGGATTTATTATCAAGACATGGAACATTCCATAAGTTTGCGGTTTTACTGTTTGTGTAGTCCTGAACAAGGATGTTGGGTTTTAAAGGGGATAGAATAGAAAAGAAAATGAGCATGTTCTGACGGTAGTCCATTATAGAACTACGTGATATGGTAAGGACAGTGGTAGAGAACAACAAGAGGTGTTCTTTAGGAGCAGGAAAGGGTGGATGAACCAGGTCATGATTCTATCTGCATTAATCTTCTAGTCAAGTTCACTAGTCTTGTATGGACTACCCACACAGCAAATGCGCAAATTTAAAGAGTATTTCACAAGCAAAAAACCTTTGATGGTCATTTGAATCCTTTGAATGAATTTATTTTTCAACTTAAATTTGTAATCATTTGTAATCGACATCACGCATTTAGTTTACTTTTTACACGTCAATACAAATGAATCCGATCCAATCAAATCATCAATATTGACCTAGTGAGCACTGCACGACGAGTATTAGTGGATGTGGGTATTAATTACAACAATTAAGTTACTTCACACGACATATTTTGTTGTCATACCCAAGAATGTCCATGAGGTTTGTTGACCATACGAAGCTCCAGGAACACTTTTCTACACTGTGGCATAATCTTTGGAAGAAAAGGCATGAAGGACATTCGTTTTGTCGTCCCGATGAAGACATGTGCAATGAAGGCCATTAGTCCTTTTGGAATGTGCTCCAGTAAAATCGCCACACGATTATGTGTTACCCTGAAGCTCGGAGTTTGTACAATGCGTTCACCTTCCGCTTCTGTAACAACAAAAAAAGGAATTTAATTGCACCATAAACATTCAATATCCGCACAATACATGTATATGTAGAAATGGCAAAAATACGTTTTCAACTTTGAATGTTTCTAAAACTACTGTATGACATTTGAATTAAATAATTACTGCCACCATTTTAAAGCTGATATCTTGTTCTTTACTCTCATAAATGTCACATGCCAAAATTTCGTGTCTGGGTTTACATTAATTGTTCGAGATTTTAGTAAGAGCTTATTCCGGAATATATTGTGTTTATCCACACTGTACATACACTAATGTCAAGCATAAGTTGTTAGGACTTTTAGGACTATCGGATTACATTTTGAGTAAATTATGGCCTATACCATTTAAAGGCGGAGTACTTGCTCTTTACTCTCATATACGTCACACTCCGCAACGTCTTGTCTAGGTTCTATTGTTCGAGATTCACTCCGCACTGTACATACGATAATGGGTAAAATATGAATTCAATTGTGAAGGCTTCTAAAACTAGTAGTAAAAGTACAAGTAGTGGTTGATAGACCTGTATCGATTGGAATAATAGTAGGCATTTTGATGGGATTAAACGACTCTTTTTTTTTTTTTTTTTTTTTTTTTTTTTTTTATTACTTGTGTGCGTTTATTAAATTGGCAGGGCTCCCACTATTAAAGCAGAGTTGGAGCCTCGAGTTGTAATGAGCTTGCACGAGGTTATGGCAAGCCGTTTTATCATTAAAACATATTTCTTGAAATCAAGAAATCAATTCTTAATATCAAAACATATGTTTAAGTTGTAAAGCAATGGTAATTCTTGATATCAAGAATTCGATTTCATAATATCAAGAATTGAATTCTTGATATCAAGAAATATGTTTTAATGATAAAATGGCTTGCCATAACCTCGCGCCAGCTCGACACAACTTGATGCTCCAACTCGGCTAAGTGGGAGGCCTGCTACGCGTTTAGTTTAACACACGGTTGCGTCCTTTCTCATGTTAGAATTAACGCCGATCGTAAACTCATATCGGCGTTTCTCCAAAAAGACGGTTTCTGGGGAAGCATAAACGCACACTCATTTGTAAACGCGTTTAAATGACGTAATGAAAAACGTGTTTTCGGTTCACGTGAAAATCCGTGCGCCACTAATACGGTGCACAATAAATATATTTTACTTGTTATTCTCTCAAGGCATGCGCATATACAGGCACAAGCAGAGTCATCCGAGCAAGTTCATGTGTAACCTGTTAAACTAATACTAAGTACTTCTTCCATATTTATATGTTTGTGTTGAAATGAGTGTCAAGGGCTCAAACTACAGCGAAGAGGAACTAAAGGCCCTCTATTTGCTTAATGTCAACCATTGTGTTTCCTCTAGGGCTCCCAAAACAGCAACATTATTATCGGTTGCGTCTTCTTTTGCAGGTTTGCCCTGTCTGTAATGGAAGGCAGGCTCTAGTATTTTACTGCATCCTCGGAACTTTGCTTTTTAGCCCTGGCACTACTTGATAAATATGAATATATATATTACTGAATATTGAATACTGAAAATAGTTACGCTTAAACTTTTTCACACAGTCATGTATAGACCTACAATTAGGTCAATGATCAGTTGGGTTGCTTTGGTACACTTGAATTCTTTGAATTATTGATGGTTTGCCAATCACTATTCCGTTTTGTACGGCATTTAAAAGCACCAATTCGTGACGAGCAAGGATGCGGAAAGATATTTCACTGGTAACTTCTATCACCAATGCAGTAATGAATTACAATGGTTTAATGAGTCTATTAGTGATGTTTAAAGGTAAAGACTAGTATTGGAAACGCCCCAATTTAAAAAAAATAAATAAATGTAAGCTCCTATTACCAATCATGTGAAATAATATGTTTTAACTAATACATAATGGTAACAATTTTGACGGGAAACCGCCCACTAATTGATATATTTGGTAAATTAGTTCATCTATTGTTATGTGAGAGATAAACGCACGTATACATATACATCTTTCTGTGTACAGTGCTTATTACTTTACGAAGACTGGGCCAAATTTCTTATCATTTTGATGATTCCAGAACCTTGCAGTACACACCAATACTTATTTGCTAGATGATCAACCCTTTTTCTGATCGATTCCACAATGTTTCTTTCACAATGCAATCGCATGACCATAATTGGTCTTTATCTTTAAAGATAGCATGGCTTTTTGTAATAAGTAATGCTATGCTTCCATTTTATTGTTTCATATAATGGAACAACAGATGAAAGTTGATCTTTTAAGTCCTCTTGCACAGACAAATACCTAACAGTAGGTACTTTTGAGGTCAAACCTTCAAAGTAATTTCTGTTTTCATTACAGATACTGGAATAGAGGAAATCAGGCTTCGCTTTGAAAATCAAGAATGGTACAGAAAAGTGGGATTCAATTATGAAAGCATCTTAGATTATGTTTTTCTATTTTAAAATAACTTTTTGTTCCCCTTTAAATTGGCTAGAGTTGCCCATTTGACAAATTTATTTCTGAATTTCTTAGAGCTGAGTTATGACCCTGATTTGTTTTCTTCAATAAAAAGATTTACATGAGGTGACAACGCACTTCTGAAAAATGTTAGTCATCATTGAAAGAGACTACTGGACACACATATAGTATTCAATCATATGTTCCGACCACTTTGTAGAGGAATGCTACGATAATACGGGTTAGACAACTCGGTTTCATTCAGATGCTGTGCTAACGTAGTTCTGCTTTCCACAACGTTTGTTGACATCAGTGTGTTGATGCTGAATGCAGTACCCAAACCCCTCGAAAGAGATCTTGTGCGCAATATGACCATACATACCCCATCCAAGAAAGCCCTAGAAGTGTGAAGCGGAAGGTAGAAAAGACGTATGAGCAGCTGTTATTCGTGAAGAGACGACTTAAAACAATTCAGTCCAAAGCACAGAGTAACCAAGGATTTACGGAGGAGGCATTCTGTGCACTGAACTTAAGGCCAAAGAGGCAAAGGCAAATGGACACGAACTTGTTTGTGCCCTAATGATGGACGAGATGTCCATAAACGTATCAGGACAATTACCCCCTGGATAGTCACCCCCGGAAAACTACCCCAAAGGACAATCGACCCCCCCCCCCCAGGAGAACTACCCCCGAAGACAACTGCCCCAAGACAATTACCCCCGAGGAATTTGTAACACTGTAACGTATAATATGAGTTTATCTCCAAATTGATATTTACCGAAAATTTCATAAACTTTCGTTTTCTTTGTTATTTAACAAGTTCATTTCAGTCTTTTGAAATTATTCAATTCAATGTGGGGGTGGAAGGTGGACGTTGCCTAATTCTCCCGGTAGTTTTGCTACCGAGTAAAGAATAGCAATGTAACAATACATTGCGCGCAGATGAGTACGCGTTACAGCATCTATCACCAACAATGGCATAACAAAGAAATTAGGATGTAAAATTCCATGTTTGCATCCTCTATAACTTTTTTAATATAGCTGATCGTGTATTTGTCTTTGTATGTTTAACGGGCCATCATCCAAGATCCATAATTAAGGTTTTCTTCACGCTATCTATATATTTCTGTTGTCATGCTGAAGTATAATATTTGTTCTGTTACGTTAAATTATTTTAAAATAGAAATTGACTTGTAGTTGTATGGACGGTGCCATGTGTCAAAAGAAAATAAATATCCGCTCCGTGTGGTAACTCATCTCATTTGATTTTGTAATTCCAGCGTTTTTCAAAAAAATATCAGAAACGGTTAGAGTATGTAATTATATGAGAAATAAAATTGTAAATATAATTAGGTATCTTCATTCCTCGCTCGCTGACAATATTCTGACAGCAAGGCGCCCGAATATATATTATATATTTTATTTCGAGATCACATTGTTGCCGTACTGCCGTATTTAAAAACATGATCAATAAGGGCAACGAGGGCCCGAATATCCTCATGTTCGTGTATCATGGTCATGACCGAAAACATCAATTTTTATCCATTTACATTCGTCGGCAAGGTGCCCACATACAGACCTGCTTGAAATCGTTTCTAGTGTGTTGATTACAAACTAGATTTTACCTCTTTTTTTTAATTCTTAAATGTGCCCATACGTGTGTACATAGCACTTGACGAGTGCCAGAGTCATACAAAATAAATAGTCTGTGAAGACTTTGGGGTTTGGGAGAAACTTTTCAATTTTTCCGAGGGTACCGTGAATAACAAAAAGTTAAAATAATGCTGCTCCAGAGAAATGTATTCCTATGCATTTTGAGAAACGCTGCACAATTACCTAAAACGTACATCCCTCGTGGAAATCAGCAACCACACTGGCGTTGCATAAATTGTTATTGAAGAGAAATGTGTATTATTTAGGAAGACATCGTGCTATGGTATTTAAACGAAAATGGGTTCATGGCTCGTAGCCATCTCTCAATGTGTCAAATCGTCTTTTGCTATTGGATCCTGATTGTCCACAGGGGTAATTGTTCTAGGAGGGTAAATGTCCTCGGGGGTAACTGTCCTCGGGGTTAATTGTCTTTGGTGGATATTTGTCCTCGGGGGTATTTGTCCTCGGGGGTAATTATCCGGGGGTAATTGTCCTTAGGGTTAATTGTCATCGGAGTGTAATTCTCCGGGGGTAATTTTCCGGGGGTTAATCGCCATGCGGGGATAGTTTATGGGGGGTAATTTTCCGGGGGGTGATTGCCAGGGGGTATTTGTCCTAGAACAGTCCATACAGAAGCATATTTAGTTGGATGGTAATACATTTGTATGGCTACGTTGATGTCGGAACAGAATGTGAGAGTGACACAAATCCAGTTGCAACAGAAGATCTTGTTTTTTATGGTGGTACCATTGCATTTATACTGGAAACTTGTATTGCTGGTGGATACTTTTTAATAAGTGCGTGACAAGAGTTGAACGTACAAATCTTGTTCAGCAATGCTTGAGTAAGCCAGCAAATATCAAAATATTGATTGAATCTCTGATATGTGATGACCATCATGTCATGTGAAAAAGTTGGAAAGATTTGGAGCATCAATGAAGGTGTCTGACCCCCCCCCCCCTTCCCCAGATAACCATGTCAGTTTTTTTTTTTCGATATCTGTCCCGTGATCAAACTATAATGAGAAACGCCCTGGCATCAAATGCCATCTTGAAGGTTGAGGAGGGGAAGTATTTCAAATGGAGCTGCATAAACTGCAGAACGATGAAGACTTGCGTTTAAGGAACAGAGTACGATCGAGTGCTCACATGGCACATTCAATGGCCAACACAAATGAAAGTAAACATTGCTGATAAAACTCTGTGCAGCAGTGTTGCGGATGCACTACAATTTCTCGAAGAGCAGGGACCTCCTCAGTTCAAGGGCTGCAGTGCTACAGTAAAAGTATATCACATCTTCGATTTACTGAACTCACCAAATCCATTAGAACGCAACTTCAAAGCTTCTCGTCCACAAATTGAACACTTCTGGAGACCATTCACGATAGATGCTTACATATACCTCAGCTCCATCACAGATGCTCATGGAAAATACATGTATCTCACACCACGCAAGACCCCATTCTTTGGCTTTCTGATTGGCATCAAGAGTGCAACCTTCATGTATGATAATTTGGTAGCTGTAGAAAGTCTCAAGCTGAAGTATTTACTTATGATGGGCCAAGACCACTTTGGGTTTTCTGTTCTCCACAATATTTCCACAACTCGCGAATTCACTAACTCCTACAAGAAAATGATCATCAGACATGAAATAAAGGGAGTTGGAAAAAACTGCATCGTACATGATATCACAACTATTCTGCATGTATCCAGCCAACATAACAAGATTAGAGATTCTAGCTATGGGGATGACTTGCACCTTATCCGAAAGTGAGACCTGTCAGTTCGAAGTCCTAATACTACTTATCATGACTATACGGACATTCCAAACCTCGGTGAACTTCCCTGACATAGCAGGATGCGCAGTGAAAATTATTTTAGCAGTTGAGATGCGAGAGGCCATCGCAACTGGTGAAACCATGAAGGGCAGCTTTCATGAAATTTAAACAATAGAGGAGGGCTAGATAATTCCATTGAAGTGTATTACAAGAAAATGTGAATATTGATATCAGTGTGATGCAATATATAGTTTTCAAGAAAATTCTTGAATGTTATTATTATGACATATCTTTTTTATCTAGTTTTTATGGGATGTTCATTTTCATTACATTTTTAAAAATCTTAGTTCTACATTATGTCCAATGAAGTGTAGGTAGTACCAGCTCAATTTCATCTTTCATCCCATCAAGTTTGATATCAATGCGATAACTCAACCGCTAAGTAGTTTTTGCAATTTTCATTTGCTGTTTAGTCCCAATCGCCCAGAAAATGGAAATTCATATGTGTCAAGTAAAGTAAAGTTTGCAGAAACTCTTTTTGTAGTTCGGAGGGGGGGGGGGGGGGTGAAGTATACAAATGCAGATCTTTAATTGGGACTGAAATGTAGACTGAAACTGTACAACTTGAGTTTTTGTTTTAATATGCTTTATTAGAGTCGGTAAATGGCTTTTAGATGCGCAACTTCGGTTAGCTTGCTTTGCTATCATTTCACCCTTCCATTCCTTCCCTGCATGCCCTTACCTTCCTTCTGCATGTAAGCTATCATCTGTCCTCTTCTATACCCTACCTTTCATTCTACCTCTCTGCTGCCGTTTGTACTCTGGCAACTAACATCTAAGCCCATGAGTCCATAATCGCCTCTCTACTAGCAACTCAAACTCCCACCTCCACGCTGGTGCCGGCTGGATAACTCGGGTCCGCTTTGTGGCCTGGGGAAACCGACGGGGGATGAGTCTGGGAAGGAAAACCCTAGCGTGAAACCAGTAAGAGTTCTCCTCTTGCTTTATCAGTGAATTCATTCACAATGTCAATAGAGAAGGACATTCATGACAGCTTTTAGAACTAAACCATACTGTAGGAGTTGCAACCACAGATATTATAAGCAAATGAAAAACTATGATGGCACAACCTAACAACACTAGGGTTAAAGTCCCTAACACAACATGTCCTGGATCAGGCATCGATTCCTTAGAATCTCATGACGGCTTGCCCTCAAAGCCTTATGGAAGGGGTAAATATGATGATGGTGTCTGTAAAGGACGACCATTTTTAAGATGTAGAAAGACAGTAATTGTATCAACTATGAATGTGAGAACTATTAGGGAGCAAAGAAATAGAGAAGAGCTATCAACCAATTTAAAAGCGCAGAACATTGATATTTTGGGAGTACAAGAACATCGAATAGTACATAATGAGCCTATCAGATATGAGAAAGTTCTAAACAACATGCTTATAACATCATCTGCAAACAGAAGTTCAGCCGGAGCTGCAATAGGAGGTGTGGGATTACTACTAAGTCCCAGTGCATATGACTCCATAGCTAGCATGAGATCACATTCTGACCGAATACTCGTCGCAAACTTTCAAGGAAACCCTGCAACTACAGTCATTACAACTTATTGCCCAACCAACGTAGTGAACGAGGATATCATTGAAGGACACTATGACAATTTAAGAAGAGCAATTGACTCCATACCAGCACATAATGTTCTTCTTGTGGTTGGTGACTTCAATGCCAGAATTGGACCTGAGGATGCTAAATATACTTACCATGAAACAACCAACAAAAATGGAAAGTGCTTAGTGGACATGGCAGTTGAAAAGAACCTAGTTATAGCAAGTGGTCAGTACTGTAACAAGAAAGGGAAATTGTGGACCTATATTAGCCCAGGTGGAAGTAAATGCCAACTGGATTATATACTAATAAGGAAAAAGTGGAGGAACAGCTTGAATAATGTTGAGGCGTATAGTACTTTTGCCAGTGTAGGATCCGACCATAGAATAGTATCTGCAAGAGTCCGTTTGAGCCTTCGAAAGAGCAAAACCTTGGCAAAAGGAAAACAGCACGATTGGAAACTTCTCAGCACTGACAACCACCTTCAGAAGCTATACAGCATTGAAGTCCGCAACAGGTTCCAGCCCCTATAGAAGGAGGAAGAATCAGCTACCGAGAGGTATGAGCGATTCATAACAGCACATAAGGAGGCTACTGAGAAAGTTATCCCAGTGAAAAAGAAGACAAGAAAGTTGCATTTTCCCAATGATACACGTGTAATCAGTGCTAGAAATAAGATCAATAAAGCCTACATGGAGTACCAGAAAGATACAACTGATGAAAATCGGCAGATCTACAAGCAAGCCAAGCACAACCTTGAGGAAGCATACAATTTAGTTATAGAAGTAAACTAAAAGATGTGGAGAAAGCGCATGCCAACAGTAAACATGGGCAGAGCTGGAGACTCATAAATGACATAACCGGAAGGAAAGCATCTCCGGAAGGGCAGTTAAAAGGAGACACACAGAAAGACAGGGTCATAAACTGGTTCAACCACTTCAAGAATCTTCTTGGAAGCCCTCCTGATATAGATGATGAGGATGAAGAAATTCTGCCTATACTAGAGAGTCTGAACATCAAGACAGGGCCATTTGATCTGAAAGAATATTCAAAGGCAATAAAGTCACTAGTAGAAGGGAAGAGCTTTGGGGAAGATGGCATACCACCAGAGGTTCTAAAAAGATGTGACCTGGATGAAATCATTCTGAGTTTCTGCAACAACGCTCTGATCAATGAAGAAAAGCCCCACCAATGGTCCATACTGAACATTGTACCAATACCAAAGTCTGGAGACCTGAGCCAAGGAGGAAACTTTCGAGGAATCAGTCTAAGCTCCATCGTGGCCAAAACTTTCAATAGATTGATTTTGAACAGGATCAGACCTGTACTTGATAGTCACCTGAGAACCAACCAAAATGGATTCAGAGTTGGAAGGACCACAGTGGGACATATTTTGGCACTACGCAGGCTTATAGAAGGAGTAAAAGAAAATCAGCTCCCGGCTATTATCACATGTATTGACTTTCGCAAAGCCTTCGATATCATCCACAGAGGCAAGATGTTAAAGATCCTTACTGCATATGGCATACCGGAACAACTGGTGAATGCTATTGGCACTCAAGTGTATTTCCCAGCGCGGTCAACGGCAACATGTTGATATGTACACTGTGAATGGGAATGAGCGTTGCAATTATGTCGTACAGTTCTGTGCATATAGCCCGTACAAAAACTATATACATATTCTTCTTCTTTGGTAATTGTACAGTTTCTGCCAAAAGAATCAAAAATTATTCGAACTTCCAGAACATCCCCAAATGCTCCAAAATGTCCAAAAAATATACTAAAATGATCAACGATACCTTCTTGATGCAGAACAACTAGTCCAATTTCACCTCTGAATCTCATTTGGTTGAATCATAGGCGTATTTTTTAGGACAACGCAATACGTGTGTACGTATGGTGGTCGAGAGGTGGAGGTATCACGATCGCGATATAAAACGATAGTAATAAGTTGATATGTGTACACTTTCAAGGTTTTTTGTTTCCTTTGTTGTCAATTGGGTTGTAAACTATCAACCAAAGTGACGATTCTCTCTCTCTAACTAAGTGTGTGTGTGTGTGTGTGTTTGTGTGTGTGTGTGTGGGGGGGGGTTATTGTCTGTCTCTTCTCTCTCGTTCTCTCCCTATCTATCTCTCTCTCTCTTGTGTTTGATAATTTGGTTATGTTAATAACTGTTGAGGAGTTTAATTTTGAGAAATGTACAAATATATCGCTTTCCTTTTTGATGAAATATTTAAAACTCAATATATCTTCTTCTCTCTTTCTCTCTCTTGTTTACTTGTATAAGGGGCGGGGATACATTTTAGAATATATACATGTGTTGTTTGAATTTTTATTTGATCTTTTTGGGAGGTGTATATATATATCTCTCTCTTTATTGTTTTCACATAGGGGCATTTCACACATATGCATGCAAATATTACATACCGACTTATAATTTCAGCAATCAATTACTTTTTAGAGTAGCAAACCCCAGCCGTTAATTAAACATTTCTCTCACAGCCACTAAACATATTTCACTGATATCATATTCATCATTGTCATTATAGATATCAACAATTCATAATCGTTCATTTTTTTCTCAGTGTGGGACTATAATGTATACACACAAAAATATGACTTGAGAGAGAGGGGTGTGATACAGACTGTACGTTTATTTTGATTTGCTTTAATGTTTTTGTTCAGAAAGTCATTTTGTGTACTCTCTTGAAAAATATTGGAAGTGAGGATTACGGTTAACAAACATTTAATACTGACAATGTATTCCTTTAATTTACTTGATATATTTAACTGATATTTTATGAAATCAAATGGATATGTTTTATATATATATATATATATATATATATATATATATAAGCTTATACTATGTGACAGAACTTATGTTCCTCCACATACTCTTGACATTTTTTAAAGAGCATTACAAACAAACTAAATCAGGGAGGGTTTTGAACTTTGGGTGTAAAGGGCTCGCTGAAAATGGATGCTAGCATTACCATACAAACGAAGGCATTAGTTTAGAGAAAGATTGATTTTATTTTTATTTGTTTTTTCTTCTGCATTCATGTTAACATACAGTTTTTCGATAACCATTATAATATAAAGTACAATAAGTATTTTTCTGACAATGAATCATAAATAAGCAAATACATATATATATATATAAATTGTTATTTTCAAAAACAAAATGGTAAACTGTCATAAATACAAAATTTCCTCAAAAATTATAAAATATTATACAATTATTTGCGGAAGAAGGACGGTCATTGTATAAGCAGATTGCTTGATAATACGACAGCCCCAGACAAAACTCATGAAATATATTAACACATTTATTAATACAAAGCAATATTTATTGCTTTGTGTAACACAACGGCTTTTTAAAATTACCCATTTCAGGTCTCGATAAGGGTACCTTTGTTATTTAAAAATGCCCGATATTTATGATGTGAGATGAAGATCGCTATTCATAATAAAGATTCGTGAGGACCATTATTCATAATACGAAATCGGGGTCGCTATTTATTAACATGAAGAAGGGGTGCTATTCATAATACGATACGAAGGTGAAGAGCGACCCTCTTCTCGTGTTATGAATAGGAATCCCCATGCTATGAATAACGACCCCGATTTTGTATTGGGAATGGCGACCCTCTCCCGTATTATGAATAGCGACCCTATTATTCGATAATGAATAGTGGTCCTCATGAATAATGACCCTTATGAATACTAACCCTTTTCTCAAATGATATATGGCGGTCCTTGCGAATTAGCCGTCCTAATGAATAGTGGTCCTTATGAATAGTGGTCCTTGTGAATAAGGGTCCTTTAATATGAATAGCTGTCCTCATGAATAGCGGCCATTATGAATAGCGAGCGAACCCCTTCTAGAAGCCTCCGGTATACCCATCCCATGCTTAATACAATGTGGTTCATTGAGATTATGTGGACTTTGCAAAAAAATTAAAGATTAATTTAGTTCCGGTGAAGCATTCAATTGTGAAAGAAAAAATCAAACTGTCGAGAAAGGTTGATTATGTAAAACAAAAAAATGGGGACTGATGTGCAGTGAATTTTTTTTGTGTGGAACCATCAAATAAATCTACAGTATCTTACTGAAAGTCACCACCACTGCACACAGTGACGACGCACTTGTGACGCGGCTTTATTTGGTTCTGACTTTTCATTTATTTAAATCATATTTTGAACATATTTATCAAGAACAAACGTTTTTTAAAGGTGAAATTCAAAGAAAATCACAAATAAGTCAACTATCTTATCATTAGAAACTGGTAAGCTAACAGATGGCCATCGTACAAGTTTTAGGTCAACTACATATCGGGTGATTTATAAAGAATGCAAATACAACCACCTCTACAGCAGCTGGGATATACGAGAGATTCGCCGGAAAAATAACGATGTTTTAATGGCGTCACTATATGGACCAATACTGCCCAAGCAGACGACATCCCATAGAGAATGATCATAATAGCAAAGCTTTTATTTTTCAAAGTATAATGAGTTTAGTGTATATAAATGTAATGGCATGTCGAACCATTCGAAAGGGGATATGACCCGATTCTGATAACTAAAATCTTTCGCTTGTAAATACACAGGATAGGGGTTAATTAACAATCAAAGAAAACCAGACTTTCAAATTGAAAACCCCCCGGAATGCTATTAAGGACGGCATTAATTTTGTTCCCTCTCGAAACGCCGAACATACCGTGGTGTGTGCAGCTGAATATACAATGACGTCTTTTTTTGCTTACAAGCGACAGATTCCTTTATTTTGGTATCGCTGCATTTGTCATCAAAATAAAAACCATGCGCGGGGTTTAGAGTGAGGCAATAGAATATACATTTAGCCTGACGGTACTGAAGTAAGAGAAAGAACTCAAGAAAAGATGAAAAACACAAGCACTGAAAATGTGTGAGATGTCATGGGACATCGTCTGCTTGTGCAAATCATGTCCATACTGCGATCTCATACATCTCAGCAGCGTTCGGAGAGCTCTTCAGGTGCTATGCCGGGCTGTATTTAAGCGTTTTGTAATTAATAATAATCATTACTTCGAATGTTTCCAAGAATTGAATTGTTATAACCTTGTCGAATCAAATTTTCAACTTTGCAATAATGAATATAAAGTTAGTTTTTAAAATCAATGAATATCTACTTTAAGATTTCGATATTCTTCTAAACGAATAGTAAGTTGAAACATATGAGCTGGATGGATGGGTAGCTGCTAAGAGAGAATTGAGAGTATTATCATTATAGAAAAGGTGATTAAATTGTTTTTGAAAGCGATTCCAGGTTGTAACATAAATCTTTAAATAATACTGTGGGTATTTAATTTGAAGAAAACACCTAATCTGTTACGAATCGTAAAGAAGTCAGACCTGTTGCATGAACCATGTATCTTTCTTCTCTCTCTTTCTCTCTCTTTCTCTCTCTCTCTTTCTCCTGCCCACAGACTAGCACACCCACTCTCCTTTCCGCTCCAATTTCCCCCTTTCCGTTTATCCTTCTTCTTTTCATGCTCTCTAATTCAAAATCGTATGGTACTTTTAATTGACGTTATCTCTTACATTTTGTTGGGGGTGACAATAACTCCCCACCAATCCTTTCCGCCTATTTCGGTTTCTCGTTCGTTCCTAACAATGTTTTACACAGACAATCACCCCCCCCCCCTTATTTTTTGCTATACTGACCCAATTATAATATCTTTGTCTACCAAAAATGTATTTATACTACGCTTGGTGACTTCACTCACTTACTTTAAAAAAAAAAGTAGTCAGCTTAGTCCGTTTCATATTTCACTTTTACATTTATTACAACTACGTTTAAAGGGATTGTTAAGTTGTGTTGCAGAGGGCGCTACACACGATAATTTGTTTGTTAGATAATGAAATACTGAGTGTCAAATTTGAGAGAACGTACAATTTAAATGACAAAATCATCTTTGTTTGATCTAAATTGGTCCAGAGACGGCTGAAATACCCATAAATATAACGATTCATAATATTTGTGGTGCCCCACATGTATTCGATAATTTAAACCAGCCGTTGAAAAAACGTGATAGCGCCTGATACGTTGTATTTCA